ACTCAAAATCTAGGGTTCTATTAATCGACAATATGCATTATGGGATTCCTTCATGTTTTTCCATCTTTTATGGTCGCAACACAGTCATAAAAGAGTGTAGAGTATACCTGGATCAGATGTGATGCAGTCTCCTACTGAAGGGGGATATTTTCTTTTTTGGTTCCACACTTCATGGTCTCTTCCTGAAAAGGGATCATTTTTTTCATCAGCCCTTCACCAGTTCACTGTGGGATTATAGCTATTTTGTGAGCGGAGATAAGATATTGTATCAGAAGTTAACATTTTCCTATACTGAATATGTATTTTTGATATATACTTACTATATACACTTCCCATCCAGCCTCCCCACTTCCAGTGATATGTGGTGTAGGTCTTCTGACCAATCTTGAAGTGATTAAAGAGCACAAATGTGGAGAAGGCACTAGTTACGATCAGGGTTGAGTCATGTTCCTATTGGTGGAGACCTGTTGCATAATCATTTACATATGGATGTGCAGAAGCGAAATGTAGAAGGCTAATGGCGGGCATTGAAAATTTACACCAATAGAGGGCAGTACCAATTGAGAAAAGCTATTTCGTGAGAGGAGGTATCTATCGGAAATACATTTTCAGTTCAGGAGAATATTAACTTTTATAAGGAAATATTTTTTAAAATCCTCAATCTCCTCTAGTATGAGAATTCTGACATTTGCTCTGTAGGTCTTCCCCTACTCTAATTTATGTTGCACATCTCTCTGAAGTAACTGAATTTAATGTAAATTACTCATTATAATGTATATATTTCTCAGGCAAAGAATTTTTTTTTTTTTGCCCTCAAACTTACTTGTTTACAGAGCCATTAAGAAGACTATCAGGCCCACTTGCTACACCCACCTATCGCATCCTCTATTTCACAAATTACCGATAGTTCTCTCTCTAATTTCTTATACTACATTATTTATAACCAATAGAAAGTCAGATTTTTAATATATCAAATGACTATTATATTACATTGTTTTTTATACTGAGAATTGTCTATTTAGCATCCAGTTTGAAACTTTTTCTCACAGTATTCATATTGACAAGTTTAGTGGAATTTTTAAAAACTCTTATTACGTAGTTAGAAAGCCAGAAACACTATAATAGTTATAGGACATTGTTTACTTTGTGAGTGGTGGTATTCCGCATTCTTAGGTGCGTTATTAAATAAAAATTTAGTGTAGTAGTAGTAGTAGTAGTAGTACCATTAGTATAAAAAAAGTAGTCTTAAGTTTCATTGACAGTTGACAGCAGAAAAAAGTGGACCCTGTTAAGAACTTTATTTCTTGTTTTTCAAGTGTATTCATTATTTATTATTATGAAAGTAACTAAATGTAAAAATTAGAAACTTATTATTATGTTAGATAAGGTTAAATTAGGTAAGATAATAAAAATTATTCACAAAGTATTTTTTGTAAGCAGCTTGATATGGTAACATGATCTGCACATTTGCCAGGCAATTTACAACTTGTGTGGCAGGGTTATTAGACAGACTCGGTTCAAAGGGCAATAAAATCAAGTACAAACAGATGTATATTGTTACGAGCTATAAGGTATTTCAAATAAACAGTTGTAGTTTCCTGTTATTATTTCAGTCATTCTAGAAAAAAAAAGGTAATTTATTTCTTCCGTTTTCCTGATCATTACGAGGTCGATCAAATTAACCAAATGAGTATAGAGTTAGGGTAAGGAAAATAATAGATAAAATACAACGTTTTACTGAAAAAAAAAGTTTACATATTTATTTAGGAGGTTTTAGATATTATGCAAATAAAATTTCACAATTCTCAGATAAAGAAAAGTTTTTTTAATATTAACATGAAAATCACTCAGTGCAGTTAACACCTTGACTTCTTATATTCATGGACAAAATTTTAGTAAAACTACTTAATTAACCATTTCAGCATGGGCTGATACATTTTGTATCACTTTAACTGGGGAAGGACATATATGCAAAAAACATACGGTAACTCTAAGAATGCCTCGCATAACCATGTAAGATTTTGTTAAAGTTTATAATTATTTTGTACACAAAGAATGACATTATTTTGTACACAAAAGTGACACTATTTTAATTGCGTCTTTCTAATAAAAATGTTATTTATCCATAGTAGTTATTTATACTCAAATTGTTAAAATAGGTCAAGTGCAAGGTGATTTTCATTTTAAATGTAAAAATACTTTTTTTTGTCTTATAGTTTTCATATTTCATTTGCATAATCTCCAGAACCTTCTAAAAGGATATCAAAGTTTTTTTAAGGTAAATGTTTATATTTTATTTTTTTTATTTTCTCTACCATATCACTAACTCTAGCTATTATTATCAACGTACAATGCAATGAAATAATTAAATATATAAAATAGAAAAAAAATACATACCTTTTAATTTTTTGTATGATACCTTTAAAGATAATTTAAGGTCTTTTCCGTTTCACATATAGTTAATTTTTAATGTTGTATTTTCCTTTCTTGTCCTTTGCCACTTATTATTCATCTCAACACAAGTCAACGGTGCCCTTGAGACAAATTACGGTTTCTTTGGGAGGCATGCGCAACCCTTCGGCAAAATTTGCATTCAGCACATAATATTGTAAGCCTTCAGAAAGGACACAAAGTATGATGTTAATTCAAAAAATATTTAAATCTTTTAATTATGCATTTTAAAACATAAATAATACATAATTAATTAAAATATAATAATAAGGCCTAAATACAATTTAAACTGTGTCTAGCTGTAACATATTTAGGTAAGAAAGAACCGTAAGTGCTATAGTCGATCAAGCAGCCAACAATACTACAGTCAATTACATGTACTCCATGATGACAACTTGATGCCAATTTAAAAATAACCATTGTTAGATTATAGTGTAAAATGAGCTCTTTCTAATGAGTATACATGTGTGTGTAAAATTTACATGTAAGCTATAAAGCTCAAACAAATCTGTTGAATGTGGGCATGACAGCTGTCAGGGGTTGAAAAAATGTATTACTTGTTTCAACTGTATTTATTCAAAGAACTTTGAAATGAAGGTTATGTAAGCATCTTATTGTCTAGACGTACCTCAACTATTATTGTATTATTGAATATACAGAGAGCTGAAATAGAGAATTTTCATAGCTTGTTGGTCATGTGACAATACATCTGAAGTTTTAAGTAGTTTTTAAAGGTTTATTTTGAAATAAAGGACATAAACCTTGGGTAAAATAAAACTTCGAGTCATAACATACATTATTATATTAATTTCACTCACATACACTGACAGTGTTTAATTACATTTTGAATGTAACACAGTGACTTGAGCAGAAAAGCTTTTAGAGGGACTCCCATTGTGAAAGGGTGAAAAAATATGATTTTTTGTGTACAAAAGTCTTGTAATATTTACTGAAAGGTTGTCAAATTTCATGAAGATTCACAAAGCATATTAAAATTTATTACTAAAATAAACTTGAACTCTAATGCAAGTCCAAAACTTATTTTTCATGTACGTTTGTTATTTATTATTATATGTTTTTTAACAAAACTAACTAAAATGTAAACATTAGAAACCTTTTAGGTTAGATAACAAAAAGAAAATGAATAAAAACATTTCTTGAAATCAGCTCAAACTGTATTGTTTGATTGTAACCTGATTTATTACTTATACAAAGTTCTCGCAATGCGGTTAATTTCCTGTCACATATTTAGGTAGAATCTTAGGGGCATTGTAAAGTTATTAAGATTATTAGCAAGCAGGTATGAAAAGGTTAGATTGCTGAGGTTGCTTTCATAAATAATTGTGATTGTCTGTTCTAATCTGCAATCATTCTAGAAAAAAAGTGTTATTGATTTTATTCAGTATTTTTCAGTTGGTCTTTTAATGATTTCACTACAGTTGGTTGTTAAGGTAGAGAAAATGAGAGATAAAATATAAAGTTTTACCCCAAAAATAACTTTTTCTATACATTTAGATGTTTCTAGAAATACTGTAATTGAAATATGAAAACTGAAAGATGAAAAGAAGTAATTTTATTCTTAGCATGAAAATCACTTATCACTCAGACTGACTCAATAAAAGTTTAATAAATTTTTACAGACAAATCTTTAGTAAAGATAGTAAGAATCTGATTTTTTTTAGAACAAACTTATAATGATTACTAAATCCTTGGTAAATTTCATGAGGATACAGTTAGCTCACTCAGAGATATACTTTGATTCATGGTTACAAAATGACCAAGCCTGCAAACAGAGTTTAGCACAGGTTTTGTTGACAGCATGAGTTCAAACTCAACACAGGAAAGCTTTCAGTACTTTAGAAGCAGGTACCTGTTTGAAAATCATTTTAATTATAAAAATGTAAACATTTCTTTTTTTTTTGCCTTTACAGTTTATATACACCATAGAAATGCTTTTGCATATATGCACAGTAATATAACATACTTTCACTTTCTGAACATGTACATGTAACCACTTTTATATGAGTCACACCACAACTTTTATTTTCAAACATTCAGTTCTGCTTACTTTACCATAAACAGGTGAGAGTACTGAACTAAGCACCCAAAACTTTTCAGTAAATTACTTTAAGGTGGTAAAACATTTGTGGAAAATGTTGTTTTCACGATAATCAACCAGTGTAAGAAAAATCTAAAAATTACAAGCACAGAGTATGGAAAGTTCAACTTTCAATCATTCTCACACTGCAGAACACCTTAGTGATTTGTCACTGAAATGTAATTTTTTTAGTACATTATATTACTTGTCTGCTGAACATAAGGCTTCACATTTTTATGACATGTAAATCTTTGAGTGTCAACCTGACTCAAGAACAACGTAAATTTGAATCAAAAATGTCCATTGATCATAATTTCAGTATCATTGTCAAAATATTAGGCCTATTTCTTAAAGACTGGTAAATGGTTAATGTATTGCAAAGTGCATTGTAAGGATAGAATGTACTAGAATTATAAACAACTGGTTTATAAATTTAACTTAATTTTTTCAGTGTTGTAAAAGCAGAGATTCCAGAGCCTTCCAGCGAAGATTCTGAAGGTGTTGGTAAGTTTTGATCTTTATACTTAATGTATTATTTCTGATTCTTATAAACTTGTTTACAGATTTGATTGGCATATAAATAATAAACTTCAGAGCTGTTTCTTTTATGCATGTTGAACCTAAGTCATCAGTCAGAAAAAAATGTTAAGAAGTTTAATTATGCATGTACTTTACAAAATTAGATAGTTTTGGATGTCTTGGTTACAAAATATTGTGCAAAGAAATTATATTAATAGAATGTCCTCACACATTAATCTTAAAAGTAACACAAATATCAAGTGGTTGACTATATCTAGAATGTAATTTTTCAAGAACTTACAGGCCTTTTGATTGGGTGATAAATTACTTCTATAATGGGTTTTAAAGTATATTTTGACAACTTTATTCTACAACACATTTTTTAGAAATACTTTTTTCTTTTTATATGAGGTTTGGTATAATTACACATATAATACATATAATTTAAGGATAAAAAAGAATCTGTTGGTCTATCTAGGTTGCTCCATCCATTAAAATAAAAATAAAACACAGCCATCCTTTATCATACAAATATTTATCAAGCCTTCCCTTAAAACTTTTTGAAGTAACTGCATCTATTACATTTGAAGAAATCCTATTCCAAAGGCCAACCACTGTGTTAGAAAAAATAAAGCTGAAAATTACTCCTACCCTGCCTACTTTTATATTTGGTTTCCCAGTCTTACCATTCTCACCATTAGATATGAAAAAAATGATGCATCAACACTACCAATCCCCATAACAGTTTTAAACACCTCACTCAGATCCTCTCTTTTTTGTTGTCCAAAATAAAACAATTGAATGATGGCCTTTTCATCCCAGGTATCATCCTAGTAGCTCTCCTCCAAACCCTTTCCAACAATTCAATGCTGTTTCTAAGGTAAGGAGCCCAAGACTGAACACAGCACTCCAAATGTGGCCTAACCAATGATCCATATAGTACTGTAATAACCTCTTTAGACTTGTATTTAATATTTCTGTAGAAGAAACTAAAATCCTATTTTTCTTTGGCACTAACAACAGCATATTTCTTGGATGGCTTAAGAGACTGGTCAACCAGAACATCATGATTCTTTTTCTTCCATAACACTGTTAAGGTTATTCCCATCAAAATTATACTCATAATTCAAATTGTGATATCCTGCATGCATTACCTTACATTTATTTTAATTAAAAGCTATTTGCCATTTATTTTCCCAACTCACTAAATAATACAAATCCTTTTGTAAAGAAACATCATCCTCTTTGTAGCAAAGAACACCAGGAACTTTAATATTGTCAGCAAATTTGAAGAATTTATTGACCATTTCTTCATTTATGTCATTCAAAAAGAGCAAAGGTCCTAACACTGAGCCCTGAGGTACCCACTCACAATATTAATCCAGTTTGACTGAACTCCTTTTGTAACAACTCTCTGCTTTCTTCCATCCAGCTAGTGTTCTATCCAATTAGCCAACCCATCCCCCACACCTACAGAGATAACTTTTTTAACAAGCTTTTTATGTGGTACCTTGTCAGATGTTTCCTGAAAATCCAGATACACCTAACCCACTTCTATACCTTCATAAACATAAGCAGTAACCTCTTCAAAGATATGTGTATTTGTGATTGTTTTGAAACTACACCAGTATGCAAGAAGACTGATAATTCTACCTCTCATCTAAATCAGGTTATGTAAGCCTGAATGATCTCTGCCTAGGAGATTTGATTTGTGTTTATGACTACTTCATCTTCATTCCCCTAACTAGTATTCTTGTGTATAAAATAGATTTGAGTCTATTAATATATTTTAAGTTAATTAGTAGAGGTAATTTTATTGAATTGTTTTTGTGTCAGAAAACTAGCATATATCAACAATTAAGTGATAATTTGAGTTCAGAAATGCTACTTATTTCTTGCATCATGAAGAGCTATTACCTTGCATGTAACTGCTGTGTTATTTCCCTTGCATGCCACAAGTCTTGAATAAACTCCTACTTCTACATGTGCATGCATGAGCCTGTGAGGTAATCGTTGTAATGCTGTACCCCTTTACCAATAGGAGGGCAACACAACCTCCATGCACACTAATCCCGGTGAGCACTAGCACATGACCATAGACTCATTCTTGATGAGACAGAAAAATACACCAGAAATGGGGAGGAAGGGTAGGAAGATGGGGGAGAGAGCTGTTGATGATCAAGGTCAACATTTAGGATGCCTTCCTTTACGTTCCCATTTGTCCTTTGCCCCATAATTTTTACCAGTTTGCACACAATGTATGTGTTTTTCAGTTCCTTGCCATTTCTTACAGTCTGACCACAGCCTCTTATATTTTCATGCTGATTGTGTGTTCCTTTGCTTGTCATGTGCATCTTTTGAGCCTTAATTTCCATTATTATATGAATGACTGGCTTCTCCTGGCTCTGTCTAATCAGGATTCAGTAATTGTTACCTGCACTCTTATTCAGGAGTCTTCTAGCCTAGGCTGGCTGGTCAAGCTTTCAAGTCCATTTTGACTCCCACTCGGTATATTGTCCACCAGGGGTTGTTCCTCAACTCCTGTGTGGGGCAGGGCCAACCCTCTCACTTGCAGCTTTGTGCCATGGAAACTTTGGCCTCCAGAACACCTCTCTCTCTCCTTTTCTTCCTGTATAAAAGATTCTATTGTTTCTGGGGACTCTTGCTTCCAATAACCCCTGGTCTCTCATGGTCACTTGCACATGCATCCCACTCAATGGGTTCAGAGGGATTATAGGAACATGTCCCACAATCACTTATCAGCCGTTATATCTCTATGTTCCACTTTATGTGGCTTGATCTCTCCAACACAACCTGAGGTGTACCACTGCCCTTCATCCTGTTTTTCATATTTAAATCAATTCCTTTTTTTCTGTTGGTGGCAGTTCTCAAGGAGCATTCTCTGCAAATCAACATTCTGGAGATGACATTGGCTTATCAGCCTTGCTAAATTCTGTGGTTGCAGTTTTCCAATCATCTTTTGATGATCCATTCGTACAACTCCAGAGGATAATACAGAAAATTATTTTGGGTGGTGGCAATTGAGTGCAAACCATGCAAGTTTCCACTATGCAGAAACTTGCTAAGAATTTGAGCTGGGGTTGTAGGGGGATGCTCAAAGTGAAAGAAAACTAAAAGGATACTTTTAATAAATAAAACCAATAAATACTTTTAAGTATTACGTTTATATGCACCTACTCAGATAGGTTTTGGGATCAGACAAAATACCAAAAAAAATGACAGAGAGAAAAAATCTAAGCAAAGGTTTCATTTGTTTTTATTATTTATTTTTAATTTACATTTTATTGTTTGATTTCTGTCTTTTTTTTTCAAATTTGGTTGCCAAAAATTTTGTGCCCAAAATTGGTAACTGCCTCCCACATTTAGCCCGTATTACCCCCTGAACTCTATATTAATTTCTTACATCAACTGCCAGGTATATACTTCCTCTTGGGACTTGTGCTTTCTCACTCTGGACTTCCTTTACTGGGCCTATGATCACTGAATCTGCCTTACAGCATGCCATGTTCTGGATGTTTTGAATCTGGTGGCGGATCACTTCTCTCATCTGGACAGACTCCTTTCCATGGAGAAGTCCTTTCATCCTTCAGTTAGCTTCAGGTTGATGCTTTTCCAACTCCTCTCAATTCCAAAGTTCTTGTCTTTTGTTTACTCATGCCATACTCAACTGCTCTGGTTGTCGATGCTCTGAGCCAGGATTCATTGAGTCTTTTCCGTTATGCCTATCCTTCTCTTTGCCTCCTTCCCTGGGTACCCTCTATCATTTAAAACATTCCATTTTGTTTTCTTCTGATTACTCCTCTGTATTCAGCTCAGTTTTGGTTCTCCTTCTGCTTCACCTGTGTACCAGAGAAGCTCTTCCTCTCCTTCTTTACAGGTCCCTCCTCCATCAATCTTGGTTGTCCATTTTTTACAACAGGATGTCATGCCTTTGTTTTCAAGTCTGGGATATGTCCAGTCCCCTGCAAGATGCGTGGGTTTTCCTCTTGCTAGGTAATAATCCCTTCCTTTTGCTTTATTTCATGTAACTTGTTGAGGCCTTTTTTTTGTTAATTGCTCACCTTGTCCAGTTCCTCTTTCACTTGGAACCTTCATGTGGTTCTTCAGGCTTATAAATGACCCCACTTTTGAGCTTTTGGCCTCCTACTCCTTATAGCATTTGTCTCTCAAGACACACTTTCTTCTCCATGCTTGTAGTTATCATCATTCAGATACATCTTGGATACCTCATGTACTCTCTATCATAGGGACCAGGTGTTGTTTAATTGCCTAGGTGAGTGATTGGATGTTTTTTACCATTTTTTATCCTTTTATTTCCTCATTGTATGACGGCTTCCATCCTTGTTGTCTTTTGTGTCCTGTAATAGCTGTCCATTGCTACCTTGCTCAGACTGCCCATTTTCCTGGAAACCATCGTTACCTAATTTTACTGTGGCAGACCTTCCCTTGTTGGGACTTGTCCCCTTCCACTTTAACTGGTTGGGTTTGCTAGCTCATCTGTCTCACATATTCTTCCCTCTTTTCATTGCTGGCCCTTGGAGGAGATCTTAAAGACTGATATGTGGACTACACCTGACATATTAATTTTCAATTATTTACATAATTGGGTGGTTTCATGTGTTTCCCTCCCTCATTCTCCAATCTACATGTCATTCATATGTTTCATAGCATCTCTGTGGGTGTACTATTATTTTTGTACACATTCCAACACATTACAAGTTCCTCAAAAACCAAGCATCAAAAAAGTGAACAAGAGAAGGCAAGATTCACCAAATTATATGTTACATGAGAAACTATACTCTGCATTGAAATCTGTTGAGTGGCTGGAATTGTCTCACAGTGAATACTTACCCAAAATTGACATAGAATGAGGAAGAATAGAAAGTGTTAAATCCATCTTCCCTGCTCAGTGTCCACTGTTGAGATTGGGTTTTCTGCAAGACTGCTTTGGCAGTATATAACTA